CGCGAGGCGAAAGTTTCTCTGAATGTCGCGTTATTCAAGGCCATGTCAGAAGTGTCTAACGTAATATCCTATTAAAATTAGAAATGCTCAATTTCTGTCACTTATTTCACATCTACTTACATGTGTCTGTGCGTGCGTCTGGCTTTGTATGCGTATAATTGGAAAAATATTCCATGAGTCGATAGCGGTAATTTTTTTTATATAGATCTGTCGAGAGTACGATCGAGAGAGAGATGATCGAAACATCTATTCCAGATTATTTTCTCACGAGGTGTGGTTTCTCATCATAATTTTCTAAAACTATTTGATGAGTTCTTATTTCTCGGCTACATAATTCCATTAAGCATTGTATTTCGATTGCGACATGTGTTTTCAGAATCAATAAATATCAAGCGACGCGGTAGCGTCGCGACGCCAAGTATATGACTTTATCCTGCGATTTTTGGCAGTCAATTAATAACTGTATTTTGCTCAAAATTCAGTTATACATTTGTCTCGCATATTCGATATTTTTTTCATGACGACAGCCTTCGATTACACACTCGATCGAGTGTAAAATCGAACGAATTCCAAGGTCTGGGAATCACGGTAGACGATGAGATGACATCGCGATGATTCAGAAAACGAAGATGTCACAATCATCGAATAAGATACGCTCTTCCTGGATCTTCATTAGAGTTCGCATTTTCTCTTTCAACAACTTAATGTTCTTCGGAACCTTGACACGTATATTTTTTTCCGGCGTAATATGTGCTAGGAACAAAATATATCTCGTGGAAAGATAGAATTCCTGCGATGAAAGTTCGTTCATGTTCAAGTTATTTCACGACACTTAACGATTCTAAGTAAGTTATATATCTGATCGAAAACCACAGTCGGATTTGCCTGAGAGCACGCTTAATTATTCGCAGCTTGCCTCTTTTCACATACAATGACTATGTCAGTTTAATAATTATCATCTTGCTGAATGATATCCCGCGAGCCTGTTAAAAGCAATTCTCGTTTAATAATTTCGCTGAATACATGTCGTGTTTGGGAAATAAAGTCGCGATTTAAATCGTCCGACCAGAAAATTTATGACTTCGCACCGACATTATCGCTTGAACATTTGCTTGTCCGATGCATCGTTCGTGAATGCACGCGCAAAGATGTGCCGCAAAAGCAGATTTTTATATATTTCTTACATATATATGTGTACTTCTTAATATATATGTATGTATGTATATATTTATGTAGGTATAAGACATAAAAAGAGCTGCGCACACGACAAGCATAATTAAAGCTGAACAAAATGCAAATCAAATTCGACAGATTTTTGAATTTTTATTTTATCTTATTTAGTGGTAAATATGTTTTCTTTTCACGTTAAGATGATTTTAATATTTAAGATGATTTTTACATTTTTGTTGATTGAACGCAATTATCTGTAAATCTCGAAGAGTCAAATTTTTTTTTAACGCTAAATCCTCTTTTGAGGAGATCAATATTTTGGCCTCCGTGAAAAAGCGAGTGACTTACAGATACATGTGGTTGTCGTGGAATGCAATTACATCGTCTGCGCGGACGCGAAGAATGCGCCAGGAATAAATACAAGTTTTTACGGCATGCAACTGGACCGTAGGCGAGACTGACGGCTCTTGTTCGAACTTTTCGTGGATGCTACATCGCATGTTTAAACAGAAAGACACGTTTGTCTTCATTTATTTCTCGTTCTAATCTATAAGACCATATTAATTAAATGAAATTATTCCTTGAAAATTTCCATCCATTGTATTTTTCATGTCACATCTTTTTTTGCATTTATATTTGCAATATTTTTTCCATTTTTGTAATAAGATTACTAAATATTTTTTTACATAATATTCAAATTATTTTTTTATAACATTTTTATATTTTCTTTTTCGTATTTTGATAAATTAATCGACGATTATTCGTTTCACATCGACAAAGGTTGCTCGAGTGTTTTACACGTTTGTAATAATTTATCGGATACAGTTGGAAAAATACCGCTTTACCGCGATGGTATCGTCCAAGCATCCGGCAGCGGCAATTTTTGCGCGGGGCATTAAAAGCTCTTCTTGTTTCTCCGAGAGAGAGATACGGATCCCCGTGTCCGGTCCTCCGTATCTTGACCTTTTGCCGGCGAAATCGCGAAACAATGCCGCCGTTCGCGCGGGAACAATGCTAGGTCGTAGTTGACCTCCGATATAAGACCTGATCGCTACGTTCCCGATCGGATTCCTTCGAAGTCCTCGCACGGATGACCGGGACACAGGCACGCGAATAATGCAGATAAAGGGGAAATTTAGCGGCTCGAATGCGCGTTATGTACCGTACAGCTCGTGCGATCTCTTTACGGAGGCGACTGATCTTCGTGAAAACCAACATCACGATAAACGGTAGGATATAAATATCGATGACTCGTTTTCAAATTGTACTCTGAGAAATGTTTACACGAAATTTTTCATTCGTTTATAGAAAAATCCGAATGTCGCAATTTTTTTTCCAATTTTTTACTAATTTCAGAAAAATTCTTATTTTTTCCAAGGTATTGATTCCTTTCGCGGCGCAAAAAATTTTGAAACTCGAATTTTTCAATTTAATTGTACATAAAGTATTAATTGCATTTTTTGATGATGAGATGAGTGGAAATGATGCGTGGCTAACTCGAAAATTATAGAAATATTTTCGATGGAACAAACTTCTCGCGAGAAGTTATAAATCTGATCGAATATATGTATTATCGAAAGTGAGTAATTGGAAAATAAGTTGATTGCGGTCTTGAATGCGAATTCCGGAGCACAAAGTATTGGCTTTTAACCAAGCGGTAGCCGGATGAAATCGCAAAAATAAAATCGCGTCGGGACGGCGCCGATAAATCCGTGTACGCTTAATCATTGGAACGAGTGGACGTCCCAAGCGATTCCGCGCTTGCTCACGTCGTGCGTGTCCGAGCGTAGACCCGATCTGAAAGCCCGGGATGTAACCTGAGCTGGACGATTTCGCGGAACGTTTTCGCGTCCGGCGTGAAAAACCCGAAGAAGATAGAATATATTCTCGTCTTCGCGAGCGCGCCACCACGAAGGTCGTCCCGCTCATTCGCAAGGTCGGTTATTCATCCGCGCCCGTTGCACAAGGATTTTGTTAAATGCTCTTTGTACTCCCCGCTAGTCATTGTCGTCATCATTCTGTATCGTAACGCCGGCGAAATATCGCGCTGCGTGTGTCATTCCGGGAATTTCTCTGCGTGGAATCCGCAATCAGATTTGCGTCTCGAGGAACCGCTCTCTTTCATTTTCACGAAAAATTATTTCGAAGAATAAATGTCCTATCCTTTGACACTCGACAAGAATCCGTCTATCTTTGAGGTTTAGGACTCTCTTCTCTTCGTGATTTTGACAAATGATACCATGTGGTACCAAGCAGAATTAAATAGACATTTAGTTACAACATAAACATTTGCAATTTTATATGATTTGAAGAGTTTATAGATCTATAAGATTTATCACGAATTTGTTCGCCTAAGAACAATTTTTTTGCTGGTATCATAATGATAGGTATACAATATCAAATTTGGCAAGAAATAAAGGAATAAATACAGGAATTTATTTGGATAATGATAGACACGAATTGTAATATTATCGAAAATGATTCGTGGAAAAGTGACCTTAGTCATCAAATTATCGATTATTCCATTGATGATTAAGATGGAACATTTCACTTAAATGATTCGCCCACTACATTTCTTCGAGATATATAAATATTTTGTAAGATTTATTATATATTACATCAGAATGACCTTCGAAATGAATTCCGAGATATTTCTTTCTCAACGGAAATTTTGATGGGATGTCATTTTTCTTTCAGAAGTAATTACACATCTTGGAGTGTAATTAGATTTTTAATCATAATCATTCGATTATAAGCGTAAAGATGATATATTTCCGAAAGAAAAGTTCCGATACTGTTAAGGGCACATGGGCCCGTTTTTCTAGAACGTGGTGGTTTTATAAAGCGTCTGCGGCTTACTCACGACCTTCGGTTTACGGTAACGAGCGCTACACGGCTAATTAACGTGCTTTAATACGCCATTCTTTTTTGCAACCTCGTAAAACTGACAGCGAGATATCTGCAAATCCGGGACGCAGGTGTGACGTAGAGAGAGATATTTTGCATTAATATTTATGAAATATTCCCTTCAAACATTAATATTAATTATAATTACATTTTCTTCGACCAAACTGATGGACTCGTATACATTCAATTGCGAAAGAACGCAAAGGAAGAACCTTTTCAACCATTAAGGGCGTTTTTTATAGTTTTGTACTTTTGAAGATGTATGTACATATGTGTGTGTCTAAATAGAGGGAAAGATTAATTATTAGCAATATAGTAGAACTCATTCGAAAGTGTATACGATGGCAATTAATCCTATTGGAGATCTTATATATTTAGTAACTTTAATTTTTTAGAAAGATCTCTATGTATTTCAGTGCGATTTGTGATAGTCAAATATGTGTTTATTTGCATTTTAGAAATATATATTTAAAATTTTCGGCAAAATTATGATAATTTATAGATGTTAAGAATGATGATCTGGTGGTTTCATTTCTAACAAGATCTTATTTTAAAAATAAGAACTTGTTAGAAATGAAATCACCAGGAATAGCTAAATAATAGATTTATGAATCGAAGAGAAACTTCAAATTTCTTTCATTGAAGAGAGGAGAAATTGATCTTAAATTTCTAATAATGTATATATATATATATGCCAACACGAGACTTTGTTGGAAATCTGGCGTTCCTTCATTTCTGCTTATTTTCGAGATCATCATCTGCAAGTCGTGAGATGAATCAAAGCGTCGAAGGGAGCGTCGCGGCGCGAAGATTGAGAATCTCGCGTTAGAGAGAGGGTAGAGCGCGGTCCCTCTGCAGAGGATGGAAGGAGGGGAGGCGCGGATAGAGGCGATCGGCTCTCTCGGATCAGCTGTGAGAGCGGCGTGGCGCCGTGTGCCGCGGCTCTGATCCGCTGTCAGTTGCCCGAGCCCTGTGCTACGGTTAGGACCGCACATAATCGTCACCTATTGAACGACGACGTACCGAAGCCAGCCACGGGCCCTCGTGCCGTGTCGTCCTCAGCAACAAGCCCGTCTTTCAGTCCCCTCGTTACGAGATCGGTAACGGATCTAACGATCGACGGAGTATCCAAGAGAGGCGAAAGGCCAGCAATCAACGGACGGCAACGATCGAGAGCGAATGTGATCAACCGTAATCCGACCTTTATTCGCGAGGGAGATAGCTTAGCGTGTCGTTAAACCGTCGTCGTCGACCGAGGTTGTCGATAAAAATTTGCGAGCGAACGTTCCTCCCCGCTTTGCTCATCGGAAATTGCCAGTTGCAGCGAGAAAGGCAGCGGCTTGATTCAAGGGCGTTGTTGTTGGTGATTCTAATTTTCTTCTTTTGTGTCTCGTGGGGAAGTGAAACATCGATCAGGCCTCGAAGAGTCCCCGCGGGTGGCGAACCCGGGGAGCTGCGAGCTGACGACGCGTCCAGGATGGTCTGGTAGAAGAGCGGACAAACTCCCTCGTGTTCGAGAAATGGCATACGGCATATTGGTCGACGCGACCGTCACGAGCACGGTGCTTCTCCTGCTGGTAAGCTCTCGCGAATTGCTATTTTACAAGCGATTGAACCCTGAGAGGTCAATAGCGTTCACCAACCAGGGCGTAGTCGATGGCGGTGATAGGCTACAGTTTTCTCTCATCTGTCACTGACCTCTGTTACTACTTAAAATATTCTTTCACGAGATAATCATTTCTTCAAGTTGAAGATTAACGAACGAAATTAATAATATTGCAAAATTAAATTATTTTGATTCAAATATCATGCAGATTTAATCATTGCGATGGAAATATTGTAGAATTTAAAACATTCTAGTACGAATTATAAGAAGATTTTGAGAATGAAAGAGATAAAATTGCAGAACAATGGCATGATTATTTCATTGCTTTATTATTTTATTAAGCGACTTTATAATTATTCACATAATATCAATTATAAACGCGCCACGTTATCCCGGCTCTCGCGAAGCTCGACGCGTGCACCTTCGTATGCGGAGTGGCATTCACACACGGAGCGTGCACGCGTGCACGTATGTACGCGGTTGGAGTCAAGGATACCATCGTTATCTAGCCCGTGCTCGCTATACTTACATCGAGTATACCTGGCAAATACATACATATATACATTGCACGTAGTTGTCGCGGGCGAGTGCTACTTTCGTTATGCAAGCGCGGAATGTTAACTTATCACAGTTCCTACGAGCGATTATGCACTTTTTCTTACGCAATGCAACGTAAGATGAGACAAACGAGAAAATTTTATGAGTCATACAATTTACAGAAGAGAAAAAAGGAGAAGGCGGGAGAGTGCATACTGCGCGAAAATTTACATACAAGTTATATCAAAATGAATCTGTTGATTCATGTAATTGAAAAGTCTGGCAGTGAATTTAAATTGAATTAATCTTTACAAATAAATGACTTATTTATAATTATATACGTAATTTATATGACTACTGTTGATGTTTATATGACTACTGTTAATGTTGATGTTACAGATAAAATAATTATTTATTTAAAGGATAACTTTTTATTTATATTAGATAGATTTACTTCTTTACGTTATATGGATTATTACGGAAATATAGATAAAACAGATGTAGAGAGAATGAGTTTTTAAGGAGAAGATTCAAATGTTTCTTCTCAAAAGAATTCGAAACAAGGATCATAAGCGAATTAAAATGCGAACAAACTCGTACACGTGTCGCGACTCGCGCGAGTATCGTGTTAACTTTCTGCGCGCGATGTAATCACGTAAGCTGAATGTAATTAGTGACACCACTAATGCCTCTTAAGATTAAAGGTATCTTTTCTCCAACACATTAATTACTAATTAAACCTGATGACATAATCGTATAATTAGTTTCATTTTTAGAAAAGGCGTCTAAAAAAAGCAGTATATTTAATAATAAATATTTAGCTATGATATGTTAATAATAAATATTTAGCGATTATTATTATGAATAATTTAAATTTGATCACTTGTAAGTGACACTTGCTTTCATAAATTAAAAGGACAATAGATTTAAAATGTCCATGACCTTTTTATGCTTTATTGAAATAAATTATATTTTAGAAATTAATATAAAATTCAGGCGAATTAATTTTGCAATATAGTAGAGCTTTTTATCGCATATTTAATTAAAATTTAATTAATACTTGTTATTTAATTAATTTTTAATTAATTTTTTAACAGCTTTATCCGGTTGTAAGGAATTGTAAATTGGTTATGTGATATTGTTCTTTTCGATCAATCGAAAATATTTTTTTCTTCCTCATTTGCACTGATTTTTATATTAAAATTGAAAGCGAGACATATTTCGTATAAATGTATTAATTATCAACGAATCGCTGTATTCTCTGGCAGCGCCCAATACAATTAATTAACGATCGCGGCCTTGTGACAATTACGGAATCGCAAAATGTGATCCGGTTCCCGGCAACTGGTTTATTCGCGCAAATTTCCTACAAGATAGGCGTACAATGCTCCGACTGCAGAATTTTGCGATACACTTGGGGAGCAGAATGCAAGTAATCGCGATTTTTTCCAGTGACTGCCATTGCTGAAAAATCGTGCGCGATAAAAGAGGATTTATAGCTGCATAAAATACAATTTGTTTGCCTGCAAAATGAAAGCAGCTGAATTCAAAGTGTGCGCGAATTATGGGTTGGTACAATTGTACATAAAATAAATAGCTAATTTGTTAAAAATATTTGCGACACGACTTGTAATTTATATTGCACTACTTTGGAAGTGATCTTATTTAAAAAAACAAATGTTATAATGTAAAAATTGTTAGAATTGATTTACAAAATCACTTAAATGAAGAATTTTCAATAATTTTTTTTTTAACTAGAAGGCATAAAGATTTGCTTCTGAAATTTTAATTTAAAATTTATTTCAATAAAAAATTAATTTATGCGCTAGAAAATTACATATATTAAATCTTTTTATATAAAATTTAATATTTTATGAGTTTAATAATTCTATCATTTCAAATTAGTTATGAGATTATTCGATCACGTGTTACATGTATTTTTTTTTAGACTGTTTCATGCAAATTTATTTTTATACATTGTATATAATATGCGTCTAAAAATTGCAAATTTAAAATACGTAAGTAACTTATCTAGAAACACTCGCGAAAAGCAAAACCACGCTCTAGCGCCTACGGGAGAATCACTCGACCAAGGCTAATAGTATCCAGTTAAGAACTGAAGAAAGGTCTTCTCGTAGATGCTTAGCCATCTCATTTAATATCATAGTTACGTACGTATCCTAGTACAAAGTGCACAAACCCAACGCGCCATTAAAACGCGACATCGTGTAAGGAACAAGGGACCACTGCATAGAAAACGTCCTTTATTAAAATTGTTTAGAGAAGAGGAATTTTTTTTATTCTATTTTTTGCTATTCATGACTATTCCAATATTTATATTATATATTTATATTTATATTTATTCCAATATTTTTATGAAGAAATTTGTAGCATCTCCGAAACATCTTTTACATTTTTTATAAAATTATTTTTTATCATAAGTGATTATATTAAACATGTACAGTACTGGACAAAATAAATCATACACCTTTCAACAAATTGAATTTGTTAGTATAATTATTCTTTTAACAAGCAAATAGCTTATGCTTTCGAACCAAATTATTGATACCAGACCATGTAAAGCATCCCCATACCATAATATTACCGCCTCCATATTTTGCAGTCTTCTGAATATTTACTTCTTTAAAAGACTCACCAGGTTTTCGCCACACCCTAGGCCGCCGTTTTTGTCCAAATAATTCAAACTTGCTCTCATCAGACCACAATACTTTTTTCCAAAAGTCTAGAGACATATTCGCGTACTTCTTGGCAAACTCGAATCGGTTTTATTCAGAAGACTGTAAAATATGAAGGCGGTAATATTATGGTATGGGGATGCTTGACATGGTCTGGGATCGGTAATTTGGCTCGAATTGAAAGCATCATGACGGCAGATGGAAATATTGATGTATTGTGCGAGAATTTGAAAGAATCTCTTTTGAAATTGGATTTAGAAAACAACTTTATCTTCCAGCAAGATAATGACTCTAAGCATAAGACGAAGAAAACCACTGCAATTTTCAAATCTAATAAAGTAAAGCTGGTCGAATGGCCGCCACAATCATCAGATTTAATCCAATTGTAACTTTGTGGGCTTATTTGGACGTGAACGTGAATAAAACGAACGTAAGTGACAAGACATCGTCCTATGCAACACTCCAGAAGGCTCGGAAGGAAATTGATCCTGAATACTTAAAGAAATTAGTCGAAAGTATGCCTCGCCGACTGGAAGCGGTATTGAAAGCCAAAGGTGATCATATCAAGTACTAATCACCATTAGAATTAACTTTATTTATTTGTTAACTATTATTTCTAAAAGTGTATGATTTATTTCATCCAGGGCAAAATGTAACAATATTGAATAATAAATTTTTTATAAAAATATTAAATATTTTTATTAAAATAATTGAGCATAATTTATATTATTTCCTATTTTCTTTTATAATTTATATTATTTCCTATTTTCTTTTAAATAAGAAATGCTACGACTTTCCTGCATCTAATAATCTATTTGCTTGTTAAAAGAATAGTTATACTAACAAATTCAATTTGTTGAAAGGTGTATGATTTATTTTGTCTAGTACTGTATATCGAACATGTACCACGACATCATTTTATTTTTTAAATTTTTTTCGCAAATCCTTCTTGTTAATTACTAATGAAGATATACATGAATGTCGAGTGCTGCTGTCTATACGTTACGCTTAATTAAGATACACGAAGAGAAACGATAATAGACGTGAGCGAAATCGTACTGATGACACTTTGGAATTCCAAAGTCGTTTATTAATTCGTAATGCCGACCGCAATCTCCTTTAATTAGCGTGCCCGTTAAAAAGACCCAAGGTAATCGGATAATGAGCGGTTTAAAAATCAATGCTACTTATAAGCCACGTGAGTATTAACCGAGATCGGAAGTGATGAAAATCGGCGCAGTAGCATCTCACGTGATTTGCTTAATTAGGTACGCGTCTTGATCAATCGAAATCGACAGTTTGGAAAGACACTATCCGAAGCGTTAACAAAAGATGATTATAATGATTATAATTATAAGATTGATTGATAATTCTGATAAATTGTAAATATATGTCTTCGCCACTTTTTTATTATTATTTCTTTCTCTTTAATTACTGCAAACAATATTCTACGAGGCGTGCAAATGATTGATAATAAGATAATAATCTTTTCCAGATTCAATTTTGAGATTAACGATGTAAAGATTCTATCAACAAATATATCTTGATTTTATCAGATAAATATAAAAGATCGCATATTCCTTGCCATATTTCTGAGATAACATTTTTAATATTAACACATATGTGGTTAATGTATAACTATCATATATAACTAATACATATACAGTTAACATAAAGCTAATCATCATATTCGCGAGTAATAAATTATGGAATCACCGTTACTAGACGATAAATGTGC